AGAGCGTCGCGGACAGTCGCGGAACTTCCTGCGCGCATTTATATACTCGGCCGCGCAACCGTCTCGTCCACTTCCGGCAAAGTAGTCCCCCCTTGCTCTTCAGCGACATCTACGATAAGGAGTTGTCAAGATGGCCAATCAAGAAAGGGATCTTGATTGGCTGGCCATAGTTATAAGAGAAATATAGTTAGTTTACTCCGATTGGCTATCGGATAGAAAATTCTTAGGGACTTTAAAGTTTCTTGCAATAGCGGCCAATCCGTACCTTGGACAAGTTTGTGAAAACTTTCGTTCCATACACGTCTTTTGTTTGATTTGTCAGGGGCGTATATGTTATTTTCGCGAACAATGGCCGCGTTCAGCAGAGAAAACCGCTTAGTAGTAATCGAATGTGATTGGTTCTTACTTTTAGAACCAACGAATCAACGTCAAGTGTTGACAATCGAGCTATCAAACACGCACCGCCATTTAACTTTGGACAAGTCGATCGTGTCGCTAACGAAAACAGACTAATTTCTTCCGCGATCCTTGTTAAAAGCGTCTCATCCCGAAAATGAGCAGACAGATGAATCGGTTGATCAGTAAGTAGACAATTTCAAAGTCTACCTTTAATGAATTTCGATATGATTTTGTTTTTATACATAATCGCGATCCGCGATATCAAGATACAGATTCTTACATAATGCATTGCTCCTTTTCAGCCACCAGCTTCAGGAAATGGTGCTATAACCTCAGTGGATTTAACCAATATGGTAATGATAGATTTACATGTATATCGTAAATTTGTCGCATTAAAATTCATTATTTGTAGTTTGACATTAATATACTTAACTTGATTTTTATATATCTATGACATATATAGATACTAATTTTTAACAACTCGCTTTTGTTGAATTTTTACATGTAAGTATTTAATGTGTTTCGAATAGTATTTATATAGTCATTTCTCTAGTTATTTCATTGTACGTCAAATATATCATATCTAATCTGAATGATATCTGTGATGCGTCATATTACATTTCATACTGATCGCATACATCTATATCTTCTTATATAAAAGAGTTGGCTTTGACAAGCATAATAATTTACATACAGATAACATTCTGATAGCTTAAGAATTATTACAATCTTGAAATAAAGAACTAAGTGTTCCGTTAAGGATTATGGAGGGATGATTGTCTGTATGAGAGCGAGGATGTAAAAGAAGCACTAAGGCGCCTTCCCCAGCATATCGCAGATGAACGTAACTTTCGTATAGTGAGAGCCTTGCAGTTGGATGCCAACAAGAGACTCTTACCTAAGGAGCAGTGGACTAAATTTGAAGAAGTATGTAAATGTTGATTGCCAGTCATACTGGCCAGTCAATTCAAACGTCATTTAACTAACAAAAGATATTTTTGCAGGATGTACTATATCTCCATCCATACATCGAGGAAGTTAGGAAAGAGCGCGAGGAGAGAGAAAAATGGGACTCTTCGTAAAGCGTAATGTGGTGCAACAGTTGTTATAGTAAATGTAACAAAAATTTACTTCTCTAATGCGTACTTTGTGCGATGAAGAGTTCTGGTCTGTACATATATATTAAGATAAATAGATATTAAATAAATTATATTCGCTTCCTTGAAAAAAATGGCCATTTATGAAATAAACAGCGGTTTTCTTTGTCGCTTTTCAAGGAATATCCTGCATTCTTGGTTGCATCGCAACATCCGTCTCATTTCCTAAATGACCGCTTCCAAGTAACTCAAATCGATAGTGATTGTAAAAGATTTGTCATATATAGAGATGGTCGCATTAGTTAAACATTAACTTTTCATTAATATTAGTGTTTAATTATCGTGACGTGCATATTCATCTAAATAATTGATAACTTGTTGCATAAGGAATATTAAATGAATTTCTCAACAATACAATACATATAGCCGAAAGTCGATTGGTCTCGCATTCATTCGCGATTCATTTAGTATTCCTTATCTAATAATGTAAATTATCAGTTATCTAAGCAATCACTCATTTACGATAATTAAACAGTAATAATTATAATGATGTTAATATGTTCTATTGGCACATTTCCAATAACTAATCTTTGTGCAAGGGAGAATGGAAAATACACAGCGACGTAATAAATATGGCAGAATTATATTACATAAAATGAATATGTGTATATTAGATTTTTATATATAATATATTTATATTTAATAATAGGTGAAAAAAGAGCATATCTCTCTTATATTAAAAAGATACGATCTTTTTTATAATTTCTGGATGGGTGCTTAAGATGGAAGATTATATAATTGAGTTCTTGCTTGAGTTATTGCAATTTTGTTCTTTGATGTTAATTTCAAATATAAAAAAATGCCGATATTTTTAAAACCGCTCATATTTAAATGGGAACATTTTTATTTGAAAAAATATCTTCAAAGTATCAAGTTATCTTTGAATTGCCATTACAGTTCTCCTTCCCCCACATCTTGGATCTTTAAAAAAAAATTGTCTGTGAGATCAAACTTTCTGAATGAAAATTACTACAACTATTTCGCATTTTTATGAGATATCAAGCTTCGAATTAAAACTTTTTCAACTTTTTGCGATTTATTAATTGATACCTCGACTTCGCGAAACGACTAATATTCTATACTCGACTTGTTTCTCAGTATCCACGGACATGCGGATGAATTTTGTCAAATCGGATATCCGAGAAAATGAAGAAAATAATAAACGAGGTAGCCTCGACGGAATTCGATCAACGCAGCGCCAACACAGGGATCGTTTATTGATCGTCATTGAGCCGCATCATCATCCCCCGGTGGCACGCATTTCGCGGGCAAATTGTCGGATCAATATCTCACCCCCACGCGGACGGTTGAGCGGCATCGCGACGAGAGCGAACGAACGAGCGACCGTCAAAGTTTCAAGAACGCCAAGCGGTTTCGCATCGTCTCGCGCGGCTGCTCCTGCTAGTGATTCACCGGCGGATTACTCCGAAAAACGCAAGTGTCTCTCGAACGTGTTGCTTATTCCTGCCTGCCCGGATGATCATCCGGCCGTGTGACTATCGACGTTATGCCCGCAACGTGCTGAAGGACACGGCGCGCGTTGGCCAACACGAAAAATAACTCGGACCGTGGTAATTGAAATTTCCTTAATACATCGGGCACTCGAATCATTCGTCGGCGATTTCCTTTATGAGAAATGTCTCGAGGATTAAACCGAGAATTTTTATTATTGCTTTGTCTTCAACAGTTGATCCGATGACCGTTTGACGGATGCACATATATGTAAATCGAGGAAAAGGATAATTGACGACTTTTGTGACAGCTTCTCCCATTTCAACAAAAAATCCAGACTTGTGTACTTTATACAATCGCCGAATGAAATGCAATTGTAATGTGAAAATTGTGAAAGTTCTCATATTCGGCGAATTTTTTGTCTCGGAAGTTTTTGAGGGTGGCATCTCTTTAGGTATTAGAGATTGAAAAAACGCTTCTCTATAAATTTCGAGTCATACCTGTGATGATATACTATCAATTTTTTTATCGCTGTACGATTCGAAGATTGAATTATGCTGCAGATGACTCAGTGATCGCGCGTCGAAACTTGCACGGAGCGGCTTCGATTGTTAACTGTCGTGTTCTTGTAAAATTTACGATTTTTCGATGTTCTTTCGCGGCGAGGGATACCGAAAATTCCAAATATTATATTAGAAAAAAGTATGTCGTAATAATCCGAGAATGACGTAAGAACGGCTTCATTAAAATCTCGGGAGGGGGAGAGGGGGAAGGAGAAAAATCAGTAGGAGTATAACGATCGGATAATTCGTTCGGAGTGCATGCAATAGTGCATTCAGCCGGCAATCTGGAAGGAGGTATCGCGCCTCGTTCCTCGAAAGAGTCTAAATTTAATATTCCCATTATCGAATTTTTTCTTTCTCTTTCTTTCCTTTTATGGATCGAACAAATTTTAAATTAGTTAGATTTTTGACGGTGTTTTTTTTTAGTAATTAAATTTTTTTTTAGCATTCTCTAAAATATAATAATAACGAATATTTTCGGTTTTTATTTTATACATATGTTTTTTTTATCATATATTTTATGATAGTCTAATATACCAGGAAATATTTTACATTACAAATAATAAATTCTTGTTTAATTTCTCTTTAATTACACTTTAAAATATTTTTTTTTTCTTTCTAAGAAAATTGATTGATAAGGAGCAAACATAAACACAAATTTCTGTTTTATTATGAAAAGCGTCGATTATTTAGTTTCAAACATAAAATAATTGGCATAAGAGATTCGAAAGTGGGCGGGTAGTAACGTTAATAAAAATTATATATTACGAATACAATATCTTAATCAGAGAAAGTTGATGAAATTGTTCTATGCATTTATTTGCAGATGCGGGGAATACAGCGACAGGCGTGTTTCCACACAAGGAAAGCGCTGACAGAGGAGCTGATAGAAGAAGACTCGAAGATCGCACGCCACAATCTCAATCTCGAGGAAGAGTACGCGACGATCGTAACGAGGATAGTCGGTGAATAATCATTCCCGTTCTTTGAGTTTAATTAACTCGACACAGTTGTGCATCGACGACTTGTGACGAAATTACATCACGATGTTAGAAATTAAATCAGGTGCTGCGCCAAAACACTACCTCTGCTACATGTACAAAACTATTGAAGAATTAATTGTATTAGGACTACAATGAAAATAGATGCATTATATATTATATTATGAAAGAATATATATACATACATATATATATATATATATTTATATATATATATATATATACATTTATTCACAGTGTATATAGAAAGAATATATTCTGATGAATAAGCGTTTACACATACAGTATTGCTATAACATTCTGTATCAGAAAAGGTTCTTCCTTGTGCTACGAGGTTACTCTTAATCGATTAACCATAAATAATTGTTATGGAAGCGTTTAGGAAAAGAGAAGATACGACGATGATTTATGCCTACCATTTTTCTGACGGGCGAGGATAATAGAAGAATAATAAAGCGCATAGCGGTTGCATACACGCCCAACACAAGGCTCAAGCAAAATAGATTTAAGCTAGGTAGAAGCGAGAAAACAATGAGTATACCGTACGATGAGAGCTTAATCTGGATAGTGGTGGTCGGCTTTATAGTGGCGTTTATCTTGGCGTTCGGCATTGGCGCCAACGATGTCGCCAATAGTTTCGGGACGAGTGTCGGCGCCGGGGTTCTCACGATATTCCAAGCCTGCGTTCTGGCGACCTTCTTCGAGATCGCAGGCGCTGTACTGATAGGATATAAGGTTGGTATCGCGACATTGATCGTCGAGTATCTACGAATGTGAAAAATTGTTTTCATAAGTAAATTATTCAAATTAAAAGAATGAGATGTATAAACTTTCAAAAACTATTTTAATTTCATTTACTTTATTTCGCCGCAGGTTTCCGATACGATGCGAAAAGGTATACTGGACGTCTCGTTATACGAGGGCCATGAGAAGGAGTTGATGTTGGGAGCATTATCCAGTTTAGCCGGCTCCGCTATCTGGCTACTACTGGCAACTGCGTTACGACTTCCAATTTCCGGTACGCATTCCATTGTTGGTGCTACAGTCGGATTTTCCCTCGTTTGCAGAGGTATCGCTGGGGTTAGTAGAGCTACAACGCGTTGCAATCTAGCGAGAAAGTAAACATGCAGTAACTTTAAACCGCGTTAAACTGTACACAGGTAAAATGGATAGCACTCGTTAATATAGCTGCGTCTTGGTTTGCTAGTCCCATACTCAGCGGAATCGTATCCTCCGGTATTTTTTGGCTCCTGAGAAAATACGTACTACAATCCAACGAGCCGTTTGAGCAAGGTCTCTATATTCTCCCCGTGGCATACGGTCTGACCGTTGCTATCAATATTATGTCAATTGTGCTCGACGGACCTAAATGTGAGTATTTTCCCAGAATTAAAGAGTTAATTCCCACTCGCACTCGTGTATGTTAGTGTTACTTTTGATTTTTCAGTATTAATGTTGGATCGATTGCCGTGGTGGGGTAGCTTGATAGCCTCGTTGCTACTGGGCATGTTCGTCGCAATGATCGTATATGTGTTCGTGGTACCGTGGCAGAGAGCAAGAATACTACTGGCATCGAGCGGTAGCGGTGAGGAGACGACGATGCAATTTAGCGCCTGTCAAGACAAGAAGGAGACAACGGCATTGTCGGTAATCTCGGAAGTACCTTGCAGCGACAGCAGCAATGGTAACGCGAAATCTAATTTGGCGGTAACGACACCGCAGTTGCGCGGCAATAGCAGCGAAAGCCCGTTGCTGATGGTCGCACAGGCGGACGCGGAGAATACGCAGGCAGACGGTATGATGGAGGAGGATGAGCAGCCGGAGGTTTCGCGGCTATTTGCCTTTCTTCAGGTACTCACCGCGGCGTTCGGTAGTTTCGCCCACGGCGGCAACGACGTCAGCAATGCGATCGGTCCGCTTATCGCGCTCTGGGCAGTGTACACGGAGGGCTCGGCCCGGCAGGAGGCCGAAACATCCATATTCATACTCTTGTACGGCGGCCTAGGTATCTCCACAGGACTATGGGTTTGGGGACGCAGAGTGATACGGACCTTGGGTCAGGACCTGGCGCGTATCACCCCGATTACAGGATTTACCATAGAGGTGATTGAATGCACGCTTATTTTTCGAAGAATCATCTAACAATAAGATTATTGGCGAAATATATCAAGTATATTATATATGCACGTGTGAATTTGTGTTGAATTCTGACAAGTTGACAATTTGTCCATTTGACGTTTTTATATTATAGTAATTTATATACTTTTGATCTCTGTGTTTTTTATATACAAGTAGAAAAAAATTATACTATTAACAATAAGTCCAAGAAATTTACAATCGACATAAAAAGAATACTTTTAACTAAACTCCATAATTAACTTAAATATTAAAATATTAATTAAATATTACTTGTTCTTTTAAAAGTATATTATACATTCGTTTAATTGCAGGTGGGTGCCGCAGTGACGGTCCTGTTGGCAAGTAAGATCGGTCTACCCGTGTCAACGACGCATTGCAAAGTGGGATCGGTGGTATGCGTGGGATGGGTCTCACGTGGCGGCAAAGGGGTCTCGTGGAAGTTGTTTCGCAATATCGCGTTCGCGTGGCTGATTACCGTGCCGATGGCCGGCTGCCTGTCCGCCGGCTGCATGGCCATCTTCCGCGAAGTGATTAGTTTGTGATCGTCACGCGGCCGAGAAGACGCGGCTTTAGACGCAGAAAATCGCCATCCAAATACCGCTCTCCTCTGTTGTCAATAAAAGTTCTTCAACAAATAAATATGGTCGAACAGAAACTCCATAACTTCGTATCACGTTCCTTTTTTTCGAGTCCGTTTATGGCTGCGTTTCGATATTCACTGTCAGTACTGAAAATCTATATTGTACGTGACGTAAACTATAGATTTTCAGTACTGGCAGTGAATATTGAAACGCAGCCTAAGTTAAGCGTCCCAATATTCCTGACGAAAAAAAAATGAATAAATACAATATCTTGGGGGCCGAGCTACGCGGTGATACGAGGGTTAAAAATCGATGAAGGTAGCCCGCGTTGTTATAGAGATACGTTCAAACAAGAGTCTCGAAATCGCGCGGATGTCGGATTATCATTGCGAATATGTCTCGACGAAAGATACATTTTTAATATCACTGGATACTTTGGCTTCGGCATGGCAAGTCTGCCCCTTTTACCGGGATACACTTTTCGAGATGTTAACGTAAGTGTTTGAATAATTAAGCTCTCTCTCTCTCTCTCTCTCTCTCTCTCTCTCTCTCTACTTTTACTTTGTCACATCGCGAGATTATACATATAATTAAAAGAATGCGCATGGGTAAATCGGTACTTTAGCGGCTAATAAGGGGGCTATATATGAACCTTTCACTCGTTTCATAAGATCAAGGATTATAAATTGCCGCACAAGCTCGACATTTCAAACGGCTTTTCTGTGATACGCGATACCAATTACGACCTCGGTAGGAGACCGACGGATGCAGCATCTCTTCGTTATGCCGAATGTCCAGATCCAATTGAGTAAGTAATAGCGAATCTTTCTATTCCAAGACCATATTGCGCGCGTTGGTATTAATTATATTATTTTATTCCATAGAATACTACACACACTTGTAATTGGAATAATTATATGAATTTATATTCTCTCCGGCTTAATTC